GCTTTAATTCCTTTTACTTATTTATCATCGCAATTGTCTCTTAATTGCTTTGGCAGCCCCTCCGAAGCCTCTCCTGAGGGAAGGAGGTGATGGGATATAAATAAAGGCCATATATAAATAAACCTGGTTGAAGACAAGGGGCTCCTTGCCAGGCTGCCCCAGGCGATGGCACCCATTCGGAAACAGCCCCCCAGGGGGGGTCCCCAGGAGCCCCCAGTGTGCCCTGGGAGGGGGGGGTTCCCCAAAACTGTGGCTTTTTGAGCCAAGGAAGCCAAGACACAAAGCTGCTGGGGCCAGGCCTGAGCTGGGCTTGGGACTGTGAGAACAAAAGGGAGCAGAAAAGGGGGGGGCAAAACTATCAAAAATTCTCAACCCATGTTTTAAATTAATTAATGATGTCTCCAGTGACTCAGCAGAGGCCAAATGGATTTGCTTCATGTTTTATGAAAGGGCCTCGCTGTGGGAGGCCGAGGGCAGCGAGGGATGGGGGGGACAGGATGCCCCCAGGGAAGGTGGCCCCGGGGATGGGTGTTGGCAGCTGGTGTGAGGCCAGGGCAGTCCTGGGTACCGCATGGAGGTGCCCATCACCCAGGTCCCCTGCCACCATGGTGTCATTTGCATAATCATCTCCATATGCTAATCAGGATTGAAGAGCACATTCTTCTCCCCTTGCTGGGTGCTGGGCACTCACCTGGGCACCGAATGGGGCAAAAGAGCAGCCCAGAGAGGGTGGGAGCTGCGTGATCCCCTCTGGCCCAAGGAAGGGCTGAGCTGCCCCTGCAGGATCACCTCGCCCAGGGGTGCACCAGGGATGAATCTGCAGGGAAGCAGGAGCCTCGAAGCACCCTCTGACCAGGCTTCCCAAAGCAGGGCGTGGGTAGTTTAGCGCCTAACAACCGCAGAGGGATATTATTTGTTTTTTTGGTGAAATTGTCTAATCAATCACTTTTTAATTCAGCCGGCTCTGGCACCCGCGCCGCCCTGGGACACCGCAGGCTGCCGGTTATGTGCAAGGAGAAATACGAGCTGGCCACCCGCCTCCCGGGCTCGGCCCTGTAAGGGGGGGCAAACGATGCCCCCCCAGCTGATTGCCTCTCCCTCTGCCATCACCATAGCACATGTTATTTCCCCGGCAGCATTGTTAGGAAAGGGGGAATGAGGCAGGCCAGGGAAGAGGTCTCTAATGGCATGGACGTGCCCGTGGTGCTATGGAGAGCTGGTGGCTTGGGTCAAGGCAAGGGAGGCTGGTTCAATCACAAACCAGAAAAGCTACAGGGCTAGAAATGTGCTGGTGCCAGTATGGGGAGGGCAGGGTGGTGCCATGCCTGTGCCCAAGGGTGCTTGAGGGAGTAGCACATGCAGCCACCTCCCAGTTCCTGCCTCCTGTGGGGCAAGGCCATGGCATGAAACCTTACCTGGGGTTCCATCCAGGGCACAGCACCTCCCTGCCCTGCTGCATGGCTGGGGAGAGCTAAGGGCACGTGGCTGGCTGCCCTTCCCCAAGCTGCTGCCAGTGATCACCTTCCCACAGAGCGCTGAACAGCTAAGGCCACCCGAGTGACACGCTGCTCCTCAGCGACCTCAAGCCCTGTCTAAACCTGCTTCTCGAGCACGAGGTTTTTATTTTCCTTCCCTGGCCATTGCTCTTCGAAGTGCTGCAAAACCCAAATCCATCCCTGATGCCAGTTTGATCTCAGATTTACAGCCCAAGCCCTGAAATCCTCCATTGCTTGTGAGGTCCTTCGAGAGAATCACAGCAGAAAGTGTTTATTTCCATCATAAAGATCTGTTTTAATATTTTAACATAAATCAAGCTGCGCTTTATGGTGATAATAAATTTGTTGGCAGGAACTGCCTTTGCAGCCCGAGGCAGTGGAGCAATTCAATTTGTTTGGTTTTAAGTGTAAGGAGCCGTAATTGAGAAGGGGGAAGTACAGATGTTTTAATTGAGTTTGCAGCTACCACCCAGAGTTGCAGGAGGCTAATAGAGAGGAAGAGGTGAGGGTCTCCATTAGCCTCTCTGCTTGCCATTTCTCCTTGGCCTGTAGCTCCATCAGTCACAGTCATCCCCCAGGGGAATAGCTGCTCAGTGCACGCACAGAGAGGAGGAAGGGGCTGGAAAAAGAAGCCAGGGTAAACCAGATGTAGAATGTGCATTTTATTGGTTTTAATCCCATTTTTTGAAAACTAATTACAGCCAGGACAAGCGTCACGTGAGACTCTGTAATAATGAGTTGTTAGTGTTGATAAGGGCCAAACAAAAATAGACTTATTTGTGATGGGTGAGAGGAGGGAGCTCCTGGGTCCCCCAGCGTCCCCCCACCAGTGCTGGCTCCATGGAGCCCTCCCCTTCCCGTTTCCTTCAGTCATTTTTAAGGCATTGCTATGTCATGTTTGATATGAAAAACATTCTCTCTGCCGTGGAGCTTCTTTGTGTTAATCACCCCTGTTCCTGGGATAGATTTGTTTTGCTGCTGTGCAAGGACAGCGGGCGTCTGGGAATTCGTGGTTATTTATTTAAGAAATCACTCGTGCTCCTTGGGGACCAAAGTCCATCTGGGCAAGGCACCACAGCAAAGGATGCGAGCCCGTTGCACTGCTTCCCACACCTGCATCCGAGCAGCTCTTAGAGGTAAGGCCCCTTCGAAGCCACTGCCATGCATGGAGCCGAGGAGGTCACCCAGGCCAGGGCAGCAAAGGCACATCTTTAAAGGTGAGAGATGGCAGGAGGGGCTGTGCCAGGCTCCTTCTGCCCACCCTGGGCAAGGCAGGAGGGAGGCCGCCCTGGGTGAAAGGGGCAGGAAGGGACAGAGACCAAAGAGTGGAAGGGAAGAGGAGAGGAGACAAAACAACAGAGAACAGCCCCTGTTCCAGGGCTGGCAATGAAATGTGAAGGCAAGAGATTGAAATGGGCACTTGAAAGAGCAGAGGCTGAGCCAGGGGCCTTGCAAAGCACGGGCAGCATGGCAGGAAAGGCCTCAGCCCTGTCCATAACCCCACAGCCCTGCAGAGGAACAGTCCCCTGGCCTCTCCACCTTCCCAAGGCTCATTCCATCAGCATCCAATTGCTCCCGCTGGCCCTGCCCAGCTCCCAGCTGCCTCCCAGACCATTTGCTCTTCAATCTACCTCTTCCTAAGTGAGACACCAGCACCAGCTACCTGTACAATAACTCATTAATTTGGCACTGAAGATGCCACATCAGCTCCTGCAGAGCACTCAGGGAGGGATGTTTAAACTCACTAGTGAGGGCTGCCAATGCCTGTTTAGGATAGAGCTGGAGAGGAGGCAAACGGTCCCCCCCAAATCCTCTCCACACAGCTCAGCAAGGACATGGTGGCAGAGCTCAGGCTCAAGAGGTGCAGGGTTTTGCTTTAAAAGCTATGAAGTGTTTTTATACAGCTCCAGGTACTTGCATATTCCCCCAGGAGGAGCACTTCAGGTCATATGGAAACCAGAAAGTCCTACTTGAAAACAGAGCTTGATTAAAAAGAGCTGCAGTTCAAAGCTTGCTTTAGTGAGCGGTGACATTTAATACCACAGCAAGTGCAGGGGGCAAGAGGATCTAACATAAGTGACACGCACCTGGCTTTGAACCTGCTTTAATAAGGCAGGGGGTTAAAATAGTTTAAGTGAAAACTTTAAAAGTTCTTCCCTTTGTTAGAAAAATCCACATGATCTTTGCCCTGGAGCCTCAGAGCACAGGATGGCCTGGTATTAGTGACCACCAGCAGCCTCAAAAGCAGAGGCTCACCTCGAGCACGGGCTGCCTAAGGTACCAGGCAGCCTGGGTCGCAGATAAGCTGAGCAGGACCAGCTCAAAGCCCACCGCAGCCCTGGGCAGAAAGAGAAGAGGGGAGACTCAGGCCCAGTTCCAGCAGGGTTCCAGTTTTCATTCCCCACCAGCACTCGGGAGCTCGGCTCCTGCCGGCAGGGCTGAGCCAGGGCTCTGCCGCTGCCTCCTGGCACCAGCCCGTTCCCTCGAGTTAACACCCACCTCGTTTCAAGGCTAATTACCCAGCGCAGGAGGCTGGAAATGCATCAGCGTGCCCAGCCAGAGCTCTCACAGCCTCCCGCGTGTCAGGACTGGGTAATTAGCACCTGCCCGCCGGAGTCAGGGCCTGGCTGGTTGTACCAGCCCCCTCCAAAGGTGAGAAAGGGAGAAGGGCTCTGCCAGCTGAAGGCATGGAGCTGAGGGAAGCAAGGCTGTGGTTTCCTCTCCAGGGGTGAGGAGCTGTAACCCTGCATGAACAAGGACAGTGCTCTGTCCGGCTGGGGCTGCCACAGCACCCCAGAACAGGATGAGAAGTGTGAATGTAAACTACTGGGCTGCAGGAACCCAGCTCTAAGCAAAAGATCCCAGATCCCAGGCAATCCATGGTGCACAAACAAGTTAATGCCTCTAGGAAAAAAAAAAATTAACTGAGCACAAAATAATTTTCTTCTGAATTAGGTCTACTCCAACCCTGATTTCTTCCCTCAGCTGGCACAGGAGGTTGGTTTGAAAGGGTCTCGACAAAAAGAAGAGACTCCATTCCCCCAAACTCTGGCCAGTTCTGCACAGCACATTCCTCCTCTGGGAGAAGGGACATGGAGCAGATTTGTGCAGGGAGCAGCCAAGGCTGTCTGCTCTCCTGTGTGCTGAGACCTGCAGCACACGTGGAGCTGCTGCGGGGACAGAGCCACGCTCCAGCAGAGCCCAAGGCAGAAATGGCTGGACACTGGTTAATGGTGCAGGATGCCCAGGGCTCAGCCCCGCGGCTTCAAACAGCAGGTCTGAGAACTGGGACTGTAACAAGGCTGAACCCACTCTATCCACACCCAAAACGGAGTGAAGAAAGTCTGTGTCCAGGTCTAACCTGTGCCACCCAGCTTATGACCTGGAAACTTCCCTTCATAGAATCACAGAATTCACACTGCCTCTCCCCCCCCTGCACAGTCCCGGAGGGGGAGCTGAAATGTTGGAGTCTCTGGAGCCCAGGAGGAGCGTGTGCTACCCCCATCAGAGCTTTGACTCGCTCAGGACAATGTTTGCAGTCACGAACACGAAGCAAGAAAAGCCCCACAGGAGCACGAAGAGGATCCAGAAGGTGTGTCGGAAAGGGGAGAGGTGCTTGTTCACCGCCCCGCTGCCGAAGACCAGCTGCGTGTCCTTGCGGCTGCAGTACGCCAGGAACGCCGGGACCAGGTACTGGATCCCGCTCCCCGCGTAGGCTCCCGTGATCCCCACCAGCGACTCCAGGTCGTGGGTGCAGAAAGCCACCAGCACTGGGGGAATCAGCGTGATGGTGGGAAAGACGATCCTGTCCACCACCCACGGGTAGGTCCCCCCTTCCCTGTGGAAAAGGGTCTTCCAGTTGTTGCGCAGGGTCACCGCGATGATGGGGAAGTTGGTGCTGATGGTGAAGACGGGGAAGAGGCCCAGGAAGTAGCGGATGAAGGCAACGTCGATGATCTCACAGTTGGTGAAGTTGAGTGTGTACATGTCCATGAGGGTGTCGTTGCGGAAGCAGTAAATGGCAGTGAAGGAGAGGAGGCTGTAGAACGCCAGGATCAGGATGTAATCGAGCAGCACGAGCTTGTTGACGTGCTTCTTCTTGGAGATGGGCGTGATGAGGGATGGCAGGGAGTGCTGGCACATGAAGGAGTAGACGCACACCCCAAAGAGATTGCGGATGCCCGACAGCTGGGCCATGGACGGGTGACCTTCAGCTTGGCCTCTGCTGATGCGGATGAGGGCCAGAATAATCATGAGGATGAAAGCTGGAGAGAGACAGAGAAGGTTGCAGGTCAAGCCCCGCTCTGCACTCCCCACGACCCTGCTCCCATCGGCACCGCCACTCCTGGCACCGTTTCCCTCTCCTGCTCCACAAGAGCATTGCCTTATCTCTGGATAAGGTGGTACATCAAAGGCGAGGTGCACAGGAATTAATCACGGCTTGCTTTCAGTGCCTTCAGTGCTAGTCAGCAGCTCAGGAACGGGCTGGGGACTGCCTTTGGCAAGCAGCTCCCTCCAGCCTCCCTCCCCCCACCCCCGACAGCCCGTGGCTGCTCCGGGCCCGTCGGAAGCACGACACCAACAGGGCTGAGCCCATCACCCTCCAGGGCCTCAGTCCAAGATGCTTCTGCCACACACCTCGGATAAATATCACCATTTCAAAATGGCTTAGAGATGTCCGAGCTTTAACCTCTAGAAGAAGAAAAGATTAAACTTGGCTGCAGTCAAGCCCAGTAATATTCCTGCACATCTGCAGCTGGACTAATGTTTCCAAGCCCTCACCTACGTACACAGGCAGATGCACGAGAGCAGCAGCCACTACTGAGCTCTCCTGTCCCTGTGATCTGTCAAGCACGATAGAGCAAGAACCAGCCAGCCATCTCCCGGGCAGGAGGAACAGGCTGTCTGTAGTTAATCCCAGGGTGAAGCCAGTCTGGAAGGGACTAAAGCAGCACAGAAAGACTGCTATTAAAATTCATCACTTCTAGGCACAAAGTCTGCTCCTCTACCCTTCACTTATGTCAGGGAAAAGCCTAACAACATTTTACAAAGCTTATCGCAAAAAGCAACGTGCTGTGGACAGAAATGAATTGAGGAGCCCAGGCTAATGCCCTTATTTACTCTGCTGGTGGAAACTGGAGCCAGAAGCCGTTACTGTTAGACTGTTACTCCTAGCATGGCACATAAAACCAGCAGAAAACTAATCCTGGTGTCACAGAAATCACATCAACCTGGGAAAGATGATCATCAGCTGCTGGAGTTAACAGGGAACAGGGGAAAAAAAACTGCCTGGTAGGGCAGCAAGGAGCAAGATTTACAGGCTGGTGCTGGCAATGGATGGGCCACGGTGGCTTGCACAGAGCTGTCTCCTGCCCTGCTCTGAGGCATCCCAGCAGAGCTGTGAATTATCAGGTGATGAAAAAAACCAACAAAATGCTGAGGCTACTACTATGGACAACATTGAATGTCATAAATCTAAATACAGAGGAATTAACACACCGTGCTGCAGCCAAGCCCGCAGGAGGCTGGCCATGGGCGCCGCGAGCCGGGTGACAAGGACACTGCCTTGCTCTGTGCCTGGTACTGCTCTGCCAGACACAGGTGGCTGGAGATGGGAAACCCTGCCAGGGACAGGACCAGGACAGGCGCTCACAGACCACCTAGTGAGTGCTGCCTCTTCTGTCCCCAGCATGGCCAGGTGAACCTCAACTGAACATCGCCTCCTGCGCACCCAGCGCTCCCCGACACCCAGGTTCTCCTCTTGCTGCCACCCTTCCCAACACCAACTCCGTGCTGAGCCCTCACTGAGCCACACGTTTCACCTCGTGCTGCCTCAGGAAACCTCTTGCTGCCAACTGTTCCTCAGTGACAGGGCAAGCCTGACAGCTCTCCACCAATGCTGGACCGATGGCAGCAGATCCATCCCTTCATGGCACCACGTTCTGGGAGTGCTGGGCTCTACCTGCTTCCCCAAGAGCAGCCCCTGAGGGCTATGGAAAGGAACAGCTCCTTGCTCCAAGGGTGGGCAAGTCCCCTGGCCTTCACTCAAGGCAGCAAGCGAGGGGCACTGAACACAGGTCCAGTTGTGGTGCCTCCCCTGTTGCTCCCTGGAGGGACACAGCACATCTGCTACAGCAAGATAGCTGGAAAGAGCTCCTGTTCCAGGTGAGGTGACACTGGCTGCGCTCCCTGGGGCTGCACAGGCTACAAGGAAGAGAAGATGCCCTGAGCAGTAAGACAAACCAGGCAGTTCTGGAAATGTGCTGAGACTGTTGCCTCCCTTCTCACTGGGTAGAGGTGGTCAGCCTCTGGGGCCCAGTTCTGAGCAGGTCCTGTATCTGGACTAGATGTAACCGCAGAAGTCTCGCACCTATTCCCTTGCACACTGGACATTGAATCTCCACCTGCTCTGCTCAGTAGAGTGGAGAGTGACCTGTTTCATCCCCAAACTCAACTCTCGTGACTGGCTCTCAGCCCCAGTTTCCATACCAGCACTAATGGGACTAGTTCAGGGGAACTTCCAGGCTGGCACCCCATCCTCAGAGCATCTCTTCAGCTAGAGACCCACAGGCTTCACTCTGCTCTGAGAAAGAGCACTGAAGGAACAGAATTCCTGTGGATTCCACAAATGATGGACAAAAGTCTTCAGCTTAAGCAGCTAGAATTCATAACCTTTGTTTTTCCTCAAATACTTCTTTCAAAAATGACACGTATGAAGCTACAAGGAGCGATGACCCCACACCAAGACCTAACCTAGCACTGTTTCCAACAAGACCAGCTGTGCTGCCCCTGCCCTAGCACTGGTGCTCTGCAGGTGCATGATCCTGGGGAGAGGTGGTGCTGGGTAAACTGGAAACCTCCCCGGCACAGTCCCAGCCCCAGAGAAGACAAGAGCAGCCCTGCCCCAGTGGTTGTGTTTTCTCTCAATCCCTGCAGCAGCAAAGTCTCTCACTCCTGGAACTGGAGAGCTTCAGCACTTGCCTGTCAGATTTATCTGTCTGCCTCTGGGAGGAGGTGAGCCCAAAAATGAAACTCTGAAACCTAGTTACGCCGGATGATAAATCGAGATGAAAAGATGATGACAGACTGACTGACGGGCAGCTTTGGGCAGACAAGAGGCAGCACAGGATCCTCAGGCACACACAAAGCTCCTGCTTGCATCTTGGGACACCGGGCTGGAGGCAGAGCCCACTACACCACTTCAAGCTGCCCACAGTTGCCACATCAACTGTCCAACAGTGTTCCTTCACCTAGAGGACCCTGGTGAAGTCAGACATGCGTTCACAAAGATAGCCTTGATCTGTTCCTCTCCACACAGGACAGAGGATATAAGCAACGTGCTCCAGGGATGAAACACCTTCAGATACCAACAGCACCCTGAGCCACAAAGCGAGGTGCTCAGCGATGCGGCCGTGGATGGTTGGTAGGTTACAAGACAAATTTGGTTTCAACCTTGGTTTATGTAAGTGCTTGAAAAGCAGTCGAGGTTTTGCTTATTCTGAATTTTCAACAGTGTCAGACCCACTCCAGCCCCACACACCACAGACAGGCAAGGCACAGAGGACACTTCTTGTCTCGTCTCTCCTCTAGATGTTTGAGCATCATTTTTCCTGAAGGAAATGAGGCTGCAGAAAGAAATAAAGAGGGGGTACACCATGGAAGAAAAGTTGTGAGGAATCTCACAACTGTGCAGCTGCCTCCCCTACAGACCCCTCCTCTTACTCTTTGAGGAGCAAACACTGGCTCTTCTCAGACAAAGCAGACCTTGCAGAAAGTCCTGCCCATCCTGCTTGACTCAGGAGATGTTGATTCAGAGACAGAGCAGCTTTGCTATGATTCTTGCAGGTGGAAGAAGAATGAATATGGATGAGCATACGTCCAAGTAAGTGCACTTTGGGAAATATGGGAGTCTGGGGATATTAAAAAATACATTTTTATGAACTTTGATACAACCATAACATAGCTGCAGAGATGCAGTGAAGATAATTTAGCCATTCTAAGTTTAAGGATTGTTTTGCAGAGTCAGAGCAAACACCTTTGTAAGTGAAAGATGCCATTTTGTACATGAGCTTCATCTCTCTACAGAAAGGCTATTGCAGAAAGAAAAGAAGAGAAAAAAAAATCAGTCCAAGGGTAAACCATGATTTTTTCCCCCACCATGGAAGGTTCCTGGAAGAAGAACTGATGCTCAGAATAAGTTTCTGGCTTAACACTCCTGGGGTCCTTGCATCCCTGGCAAGACACTCTGCTTTTCAGATGTTTCAACTGGTGCCCCACTTCTGTCTTTCTTTTGGCATGTGTAAAATAGAGAAGATCCTAAACAAAGCCACGCTGAGAAACAGGGAGGAGAGAGATGCTCTGTCATGCAGTTCTGAAAGAGGTGACGTGGCAAGGGGGAAGCAAGCTCAGAAGTGAGGTTCTGTAGAACTGAGGGGTTGCATGATCTCTCTCTGATCGCAGGAGGGAGGGTCAGAGACACATGCTGCCTCCCAGGTTCAACAGTGAACTTGAGCCTTCAAAGCTCTGGTCCCAGTTAAACCCAGGATGGTTTCAGTGGCTCTAGAAAGCATGGGGGCAGCCAGCCAAAAACAAGGGATGAGTAAAGGTTTACTGGGGGAAAAAAATTAAAATAGGAAAAGGTGACATGACAACCACCTGTATGTTGAGTCAGGTAAAGCCAGAGGAAGAACAACCTTGCCCAGCCATTCACCACAGCTCAAGTCATGCCTACTCCGTCTCTTGCCCCTACTCTCGTTCCTCCTCCTTCCCTGGGGAAAGCTTGGTGAGAACACCCCCGTGCCCACCTGCAGACCCTGCCAGGGCTCCGGGGAGGCAGCGGGGTGCAGCCACACCACTACCAGGGGAGAGCCCACGCCTGGCTGCCCCCTCACCCCCCAGCTCTTTGTTCCAGCAGCCTCCGTGCCGCCGGCACATTTTGGGCAGGCCCATCCGTCAGCGCCGGCTGAGGGCCTGACAGAGCCTTCCTGCTGGAGTGGAGAATCAATATGCCAGGAAATAATGATAATGAATCACCCTTTCACAGCCCATGCCACTGCCCTCCCTTTCCATACATTAGGTGGCATGATGGATTCCAAGAGGAGGACGCTTTCCTGAGCCCGTTCTCTTTGGAAGGAGGGAGATCTCTCCCTACCTTAACCTTCGTCCTGATCCTCCATCAAGCCAGAAACAGAGCAGGCCACTCTTCAACAGAGGAAGAGAACTCATGTAGTTTAACGTTGGGCAGCTCTTTCAGGAGATAGACACA